TTCAGCTGTGTAAATCACCCCCTTAAAATATTTATTTTGATTCGCAGAATCTTGATCATTTTCCAGATCTGCATCAAATTTTACCAGTTATTAGTGTTATACATACAACAAATGCATTGTTAAAGAAATTGAAAAAACAAACAATTTGTAGACGTCCTCTGAACTCAATCTTCTCCAAAATGAACCCATACACAACCATTTCATCAAGTTTCTATAAAGTGGTTTCAGCAGTTTTGACTAATCCTAATAGACAAACAAACAGAAATCAATGACAACATAACTTCTTTGGTCAAGTTACAAAGGTAAACACACATTATCTGTCTGGATTAGCTGGTGATGTGTAAAGATCTGTTTCTGGGTCAGTGTTGCAGTGACCAAACACCTGCCTATTTGTTAAATCTCCTCCTTTCGCTCAGTGTTCAAACATCAATTTGCAGACTTTTCTGCCTGTGAGCCCCAGACAAATCTATACAAATATCAAAATTAGAGTCTTGTCATGGACTTTCCTGCTCTTAACATATGCTTGACGGCACTTACATGCACTATCAAGAAACTAAGCCAAAATACTGCGTATAGAAACACTGCCATCTGGATCAATTGAAGGAATGGAGCCGTAGTATCGTGGTCCTACTTACATGTATAATACATGCGCTTGACCAATCACGGGTCAGTCTCAGCTGTCAATCATGATATGTCACCCCGTTTAACATCGTACCAGAAAAATGATCTCTTGAACAAACATCAATGTGATAAGAACTACTTAAAAAGACAGAAACCATCATTCAGAAATATATAGTTGACTTGTACTTTGTCCTTGTCCATGTCCCATCCACTAACATAAGAGGAGGCACGATCTATGACCTATTCTGTAGGCAGCCACCAGATGGCGATTGAAAGGCTTCGGCTTTACTTTTGGGGAGCAGTCATGTCGTCCATCGTCGTTTGTAGTCTATGATGTGAACTCATCTAAATCAAATTTTCAGCTCATCGTGGATGTTGTGATGGATGAAAGACTCGAGTGAATAATCACTTCCAGGAGCGCTGAGCAGAAAGTTATATGACGATAATTGTGTGATCAGACTGTGATCAAACCTGCAGATCATTGGAAGCTTTAGATTCGACACTGAAAATGGATATTTAAAAATGTCTTATGTTTTTTGCTGAGTTAAACTTGAGCTAAGTTCTTATCTGTTATTGAAACATTTGTCTCAATAAATGACAACTGTCACATGCTCCCTCTGGAGCCACAAAATGTTTTATTCAGCTTGTTTGTCAATTTAATAATTAAGTGGTTGTGTTGTTTTCGACCCCAATCAGTAAATTTAGCAGTGATCCATTTTTTTTATCTCAGTGCTGGTTTGACTGTTGTTTCCACCATGTTTAACACTGCAGTTGTTTCACTTCATCTCTCCTCTGTTCTCTCCTCAGGTTTTCTCTCTTGTTGCTGGATTTGGAGGAGTTTTATTTTGAACAGCACATTGCCTACCACGTCCCAAACATTTCAAAAAAGGAGAGGTAATTCTGATTATTACCAGCAGCACTTCATCTATGACTAATGACGCCTCTCAGGGTCATCGTGAGTTAAAACCAGAAATAAACCAGTTCTAAACTGTGTTTTACAGTCACACTTCAGGTACTAATATTTGTTTAAGGTTAGTGGAGCTCGGCAGCTTTTACTAAACAGCTGTTCAAACACCATCTCATCCTGTTGTGAAGACTTTAAAGGTCCAGTGTGGAAGATTTCGGTGAAAGCGATCTATTGGCACAAACTGAATGTAGAATAATCCTCATGATGTTTTCACTAGTTCGTTTCATATAAATTATATGAATTGTAGTTTTCTTTACCCCAGAAAAGGCCCTTTATATTTAAATACTTTATATTTACATCAAGGGGGTCCTCTCTACGGAGGCCGCCATGTT